TCAGGATCTTTCGAGACCCTGGTATGGGAATGTCTTGACGGAAAGGGGACCTACCAGCTGCCAGTCGAAAGTGGGGAAACAAGATGAACCCTCAGCAAAAGGCACTGGAGGGCTTCTTGGAGACAGACCCAGATATCTTCATAGATCATAGCGGACATGTGCAGTGCAGTTGGTGTACTCCTGCAGTTTGCCAGCATGTCTTTAAGTTGTGTTATCGCCGTTCAATAGAACCCCCACGATGCGTTCCCCGGCAATAAGGTCTAAGAACTTAAAGACAATAAAAACCTCAAATGCAACCAATTCACTTCCGCTGATCTCCGGGGACTTCCCCTTCAATCCAGCAGAAGTCAACCATGCTGTGTGCGCGTTTGTGTTTTGGATATGAACTCCTACAGTTAGGACAGTTTTGTGCTTTGAGACTTTGACCAACAGGTCACCAGCGAACATGGGTTTTGATCTCTGAAGCAGAGGTGACTGCAGAACTAACCAACAATTGTGGCTGATCTGTGGCTCTACGCAGATCAGTGTGGGTCAAGACAAAGCGCCAGAGGTGAACATCCAGCTGGGGCCTTTTTGTCCACACTGACGAGGGTCAAGAATCTCTTCCTGTGGGTCTTAACAATGTACCCTTGTTATCAGTAGCTTCTTGTTCCTAGTAAGTAAGGCCAGGAGCTACTAATAGCTTCTTGCTCCTTGTAGCCTTGCCCTTTGCTACTAGTAGCTTTTTGTTCCTACTGAATGGCCTCCAACCTACTTGGGATGGCCTCCACTGAATAGCGTCCTGAGTCCTAATAGCTCCTTTTTTGACGATCGTTCCCACTTGGAGTTTGCCACCTCAAAAGGCCTTTGGGCACATTTATGGAACCTCCAAACCCACCCAGGCCCTGTGCAGGTTTGCTGTATGTCTCACTTTCTCGTACCTTGAATCCATGAAGTTGGAGTGAACAGCTGTAGGATTCACCAACGAGACTTGCTTAGATGACCGGAATCGACAACCCCGGGCTCATCTGTTTGTCAGATTTCCTGGGCTCGAGTTCTCTTCCGACATAGAAGTGGATGCCAATTAAACACCTCGAATATAGAAAATGGGTCAACAAAATGAAGCCGCCTGGGCCACTGGGTTGAATGGCCTTGTTGTTGTTTTTTTATTCTGTTCCACTGCCATTGTTTTGCTTACAATGGAAAACTAACAACAACATATAGAACTTTTTTTAATAACAGCCAAGTGGATCAACTTGCACATGCATGCTAGCACTGTACTTGTTGATCGACTGGAGTTACCCAGAAGGTCGCGGCCTCACAAGATCATGTTCATTTTTAGATTCTGAAGGATGCAAAACTTTGTGATATGATAGTACAGGATGGTGTAGTTACTCAACTCACCGTAGGGAATAACTATATGTGATGTGTAGATATGTGTAGTTGCTTTGGCTGCTGAATCCACCAGCAACACTGTCTAACTGTTTGGCAGGTTCCTTTACAACTAAGTGGTCCGATTGTTCAGGTCGGTGAAATCTTTGACTCCAACTGCTTATTTCTCAGCCGTTGCTCAGTATTGAATTCTTGTGTTGAACACGTTTCTTGTGGTCTTGATTATCTTGGAGTGCTTGGGCATTTTGCTTGCGTAATTTAATTGCTTGGGTTGGAGTTCCCACAAGTTCAGATGGAGATTGGGATCTCTCAAAAGCCTCGAGCATCCACCAGTGAACCCACCAATTCAGTTGCCCCAAGTAACTTGATGAACCCAGAAGCATTTGTGAATGTGAAGCTCGGGTTTGTTCAACGGCATGGCTTACCATTTGCGCGGCTGCCTATTTGCGCAGTGAAGAGGTGCTTTCGATTGGGAATGCGCGAGGGTTGATGCTTTAAAGTTTAAAGATGGAGTTGAGTTCTGGTGCCGCAGCTTGTGGTAGCCACATACCGTGAGTGGCTTCTGCAGGGATCCCTGGATCTTGCCATGAACCTGTGAGATTGATGCAAGCAACCTTGTCAGTGTCCCCTTCAGGGAACCAGGTGGGTTTGAGTGCAGGTCCTGTTGTCTCTCTTTTGGGGTTCTTGCAATAGTTGAAGTTGCTTGCGGCAGGCATATTCTGATTATTTCATATACATATAGACTTAGACATATCACATACGAACCAAACAGACATGTGGAAGTGTAGACGCATACAATACCGAACCACATATAGCCAGTCAGTCGCTCGTTCTTCGCAAGTATCTTTCTGATGCATTATATACTGTATGTACATACATAGCCCGGGGTTTGAGCGGGGATGTTGACACAAAAGGGCATCGAAACAAACTCTGCCAGCTTGCCGAGTAATGCCCATTCAAACCTCAAATGTGTTTGTGCCAAAGAAGGATCATGGTCCGCTTAAACGATATGGTAGAGGATCAGGAACATTCCAAAACTTGGAGTGTGCCCCAGTGATTCTTTCTCTTTTCCCCTCAGTTCGTTCCAGTTAAAAATAGGCGCACAACCTTCTCATGATTGTGGTGATTAACACATGTGATCAACACATGATGGATTAGGTTTCTAGAAATTATCGTTTGCGGGGTTTGCTCGTGTTCGTGAATATGCTTCTCGCGCATTTCTGCATGCGGTGCTGTTCATGCGGCACATCGCACAAGCGAAGACGTGGCCAGGGTCTTCGTGTTTGCCTTCCAGCTCATAGTTCAGGTGTGTAGATGTCCAAAAAAAGAGTTGCTGGAGCATAACCTCTAGCCTTCGCTGTGGTATTGACACACGGAGTTTGCAATGTATCTTTTTTCCGAAGGAAACACTTAAGAAAAACTTGAGTAACTGCGAGGATGGAGATGGTTGGTGATGGTTGGCGTATTTCATTGTGGTGCATCATGGTCAAAACTGGTTGAACCCCTCAGGCAGTACTAGTAGAATGCGAGATAGCTTTGAGATGATAATATGATATAGTATGAGATTACTTGTGAGTATGTCACAGGTCTTCAAGGAAGGAACCCTACAGCACACACAAACCCTTTCGGAAGTTCGGTGAGTTGAGCACATGTCTACAGGCATAAGCACAAGTGCTCATCCAGCCACTTTTAGGGATGGAGCGGGGGGTGATATTTCATTTGTGTGCGTGATTCTTCGGGACGAGAAAGGCATCACACCCTGGCATCCATGCAAGTTTTGACGCATTGAAAGGAATTGTCAGCGTATGCCCGAGGAACGTAAACAAAAGAGTACAATTGTGCTTTCATTGACCCAACGCCCAGCTATTCTGAAAGTAGTCTTTCTGTTCAAATCGGAAGAAGGTGAGAGACGTCTCTGAAATAGGGAACGTCCTGGTATGAGAAGTCAAGTTGGGCCCATGTTGAGAGCAACGTACTAATCGTATTTATGAATGTGTTTTTGCTTTAGTAGGGAACTCAGGAGTTTTGAGTTGCATCAGTTGCAACCCCGGAGAAAACCCCAGATGCCTTCATAAAGCTAGAGGTTTGTCGATAACATCTCATCTTGAAATGTTCGCTCGGGGTTCTCTGGACAGTTTCTTTTGCGATGCTTTGATTTTGCTCATTTCGCTGCATGCTGCGTCGGTGCTGGCCCCCAGAACAAACAGCCAGAGAGCCGAGCTGAGATAGTGTTGAAAGCTGCTTTGCACGGCCTTGCCAGGAGTGTGTTCGTCGCTTCTTTTCCACAGAACCTTGTTGATTCGAAGAGTTGGTGACATCACAAGTATATAATGATCTTTGAGAATCAGAGCTTTTGGAGACATTGTCACATCACAGCCTCACCCAGACAGACCAAAAGTTAAACAGTTAAACACACCCTTTCTTCGCAGAAAGGCTATATTGACCTGCTGGTCTCATCTATGAGACTTGATTGGAGGAGTCTTGGCGAGTCAAAACATATACGCTCGATCTTGCTACATCATGCCACAAATCAAATTCCGCAGAGTCCATGAGACATCCTTGAAACTGGTTGATCGAAAAAACCTAACCAGTCAACATTGTTTTTTTTACAGGTGATATCCTTGTGGTGTTATTTTGAGGCCTGCACTAGGTTTCTGCAAACACTCCTCGCTTCTCACCTAGCAACATCCTTGGGAGGATTCCCCTTGCCCTTATGATGCATTCGATGATTAGTGCCAAGCCCCGATGCTCGTGGCCTGCGACTCTGGGCTTTACCATGAGGCGCCGTGTGCGTACTCAAAAAAAGAGTGGACTGTGCGAGCACGCCTGGGGGCTGATGGTCACTTGGCCATCCTTATAATTAGCGAATGAAGGGACAGGAGTTGGAGGTTTAAATGCATATATACATATTTGATCATATTCCCCACATTGCCCCATTCTTCACTCATATTCCCTGCTCTTCCAAATTATCCAAACTCCTCTACTGTACTCTAAGGTATAGAACCTCTGATTGCAAGGGTACTGGAAGAGAATTGAACAATGATAGAAGTCAAAGGAGCGACATGCAACAACAAGTTTTGATGTTTGGGGTCAATGATTGGGCAAATGTCAATCACAAAACGTCTACGGATTCACATCGCCCTTTGGGGGAGGCTTCCCTAATCCCCTCAAGAATTACGCCCCGTGCGACTTGAGCTGTGCAAGGTGAGTCACCAAGAGCAATCAGCACCGCTTTTCTATCCTCGTCGCTAGAAGTCAGCACCACTTTTCCACCGGAAATAGAGGTGGCATGTGCGAAGGCTGCGGCTGAGATATATAATATAATGAGATATACAATGACACATATTGATGAATTATGCGCCACAAACATTCATGCCAAACTTCCATGTGGCCATTGTTTGGCAAGACCCGGAGGCCATCATGAGGTAGCCGCTGATTCCAAAGGCCTGACAGCTCAAGTGCTACTTTAAGGATGCATTTCGAAACGAAGTCTCAACAGTACAGAAGTACACGGGAGTAGTTGTAGGCACTTTGCGGAATCTGGAGAAGATCAAGCAGGTGTAGGGGGAACTTCTCCAGAATCCTGCAGCTCAACTCAACTCGAGTCTTCACCCATTATTTTTTCCGAGGTCCCAACGACACCTGAGACATCGGCAGAGGAGGCGCTCGGAACATGTTGGTGCAGGTGTGTTTCTCCAAAACGACAGAGAAATCCTAAAGCCAGAACAACCAAGATCTTGAAGAGCTGATTTCAGAAGCTTTTCTTCTCTGGTTTCAATGCTTTGTGTGTGTGTGTGCTCGGCAACGATCCCTTCAAATTGCCATCAGCGTTTGAGACACACTTCACAGAAACGAGAGCCTGCAAATACAATGAGCTTACATAAGAGGGGTTCTCTGGTGAGATCTGGTGAGGAAAGGACTTGAAGACCTAGACTTGTTGGGGGATCTGCCATGCTGTGAGAAACCCGGGACCCAAAGACGTTGTGCTTGTGAAAGAATATGGTGATTTAGTTTCCCAAATTACAGCTAAGCCGCAAAAAGTGGTGGCTCAGGTAAGGTTCAGCAACTGCAGCCCCAGTTGTCAATGTTGGCTGTGGGAATGACCATTCCACTTTGAGATCATTGTGACATATTGAGGTCCCAAGTTCTACGGTTCCCCCGCTGAGAGTCTCATACCAAGTGGTTCACCAGCTCGGAGGTGCACCTAATGGCGATGGCCTCTAACCTACTAAGAATATGGGAATAAGAATCGGGGACATGAATATGTGCAAAGGATTCGACAGGGATGATTCACCAAGATTGTCCCATCCACTAGGATGTACCATACGTGCCCCTTCTTCTCAGAGCGGCGGCCCTGAGCCTGAGCTGCCCGATGTCAACATCGGGGTAATTTGATAGAGATTTATCTACTGCAGAGAAGTGCTGCAATATCGGGGGAGATCTGATTATGGAGTTTTGAAAAGAAGGCTATGAAGATCAGATACGGTAGTTGAAACCCACGGACATTCCATTCTAACAGGTCAGCTGCTCCACACTGGACCAGGAACGGCATTAATTTTGAAATGTCAGCTCCATAGTCACTCACTTCTGGCTCAAGATAAGTATATACACACTTGTGTTGTTTGATGCTTGGTACTTTATATTTTTGACTTCCAAAACAGTCGACCTTTTGGTTTCCCTTTGGAAGATACCTCGTGGACCTCCTAAAACAAAGGCTATTTGCCGAGTCCCTCGTTCTTTTGCTTCTGGAAATACATGTTAACAACTCGCCATGTGGTCTGAGTCTAAGTCATGTAAGTTACATTGTAACTCATGTTGCTCACCTAACTCCAGTTCCTTGTGTTCCCGGCAGGTCTTGGGGGTGAAGCAGGGCGCTGGAACCGAAGAGGTACTCAGCTTGCGCAGGGGTCTTCGATCAGACTCACCCAGCACAATCATCAATGCCAGCAGAACATTGGGGCAAAATATTAGGTAATAAACAATCGGCATCACGTTGAGAAGAACTTCCGGGTGCAACATCACATGCCATGGAGATCTTTGACCTTAAACTGATGATTGTCCTCAAGCAAAAGTTTGGGACAGTAGTCCTCCTACATAAAAATGTGATAATGGGGTCCCACAGGGACAAGCAAGTAAAACGGAACCCTACTGGTGAGTAGACCATCACATGGTCGAACAACTTTCCTAGTGGAAATATCTCATCGAGATGTCAGTACAGTATGTCACCTCCTCAAGAACGACCGCAAGAGCTGTTGCTGCAGTTTGCATCGAAAGGACCAGGCGGTTTCGGATCACCTTGATCTTGTGATGTCAACGCTCAGGTATGACAGGTCGGTAAGAATTTCTTGAAATACCTCCACAAAATCAGATGGCAAGTGCCATGTGTAGCGGGTGCCTTACTTTCTATTAAGTACTGCAAGTTCCTTTGTGCATGGTGTTGGTTGATCAACCGAAGTTTGGGCACCTTGGTGTGTGTAGAACACCCCACAGGCACCTTCTGCAAAGTGGCCCTTTCTTCGTCACCCACTGAAGATCGCATGGAAAAGCCATGCCAGGTGAAGGCCGCGTACAAGAAGAAGGTGCTGACCTCACACCCAGACAAAGGCCGACCACCGGGAGACATGCTGAAGCGCAGACCTGGGGGCCCATCAACCTCTAAATGACCCACAGAACGGGAAGGTGTTCTAGATGTCCTTGACCGGAAGATGCTTGATGTTCGATGTTTTTTTTGACAGTCTTTTCATGTTGATGGTATATTGATGGTATATCCTAGTATAATTGTGCGAGATATGAGATGATATGTTCCATTTGTGTGGATTTGCAGGGCCCTCCATACACGTCCTTCCAACATCCTTGGTCCTTGCTGTTGAGCTTCAAATCAGAAAAGGCATGACTCATATTTGTCATTTGTCAATGTCATTCTGCCTGGACAAGACTAATGTACGTGGATCTATAAAGCCCAAGCAGTCACACAAAGCAGTGCTGTCAAAGACACTAGCTGGCAGACAAAGGTCATTCATTGTAGGTTGACAAAATCCTGGACCACCATCTTCGAGATACCAGATCAACAATCCATCGGAACAGGGAAGGGTTTTTCCATGGTGAGCCAAATAATTGGTGGTGCGGCATGTTGTCAATTTTATTTCTGTAATACAAAATACAGCAAAATAATGTCGTATTCTTCCAGTGCAGGTTGTGAACCCTGGCCTAGTGGCGGCCTATCCCCCAATCATATATTGTTTGTCATTGTGCCAATGCAGCATCTCCCTGTGACATTTGTTTTGCAAGTGTTCAGAAGTAAATGGCCTCATTCCTTTGATCATGTTGGATTTTCCATATTTATCCCCAAGTACTATCCGCCAAATGCAGCATCTCTTGTATTCTCGCCTGCTGGTTCCGCAATTCACCTTTGCAAGCATGCTTTGCTTGAACCTCGCACTCACACACCAAGTTTGAGTGGTGCTGAAAGTCCTTCTAATTCTGAGTCATGGTGACATCACATTTGCTTTCCTGGAGGATATGACAGTCCTGTACTGTCCTGTACCCCTCCAGTTAACATCAAGGCAGAAGCTGACGGGGTCTTTTTTCGGACCACGCTGTGCCTGCACACATTGCTGTCAAAACACCCATCCAGCCAATCCATCGCTTTCGGGTCCACCAAGACTCACTGGTTTTCGCTTTCCGTTCACTTGTTCCTAGTAGCTTCTTGTTACTACTAGCGAGGCACTTGTTCCTAGTAGCTTCTTGTTACTACTAGCGAGGCACTTGTT